AACCGCGACTGCTCGATTGCAAGTTATGGGACATGCTCTCTCTAATTGTCAGAAGATCTAGACCTGGATACAAGTGAAAGTAATCTACTCTAGTTTGGGTAACCGAACAAGAATTCAACTGGAGTAGCTAGACCACAAATAGAATAACCGCGGTTTGGAAAGACAGGATGGTTCAGTTAAAATTGAGCTCAACAAAAATGATGGTGGGGGAATCGCTATTATCCTAGTCAATTTTTGAGGATATTGAGTGTCATGGCAATATGTCCTAGAGTTGACGCAAAACTCTGAAGGTTCTAAAGGGTGGAATTATCAAACTCCAAAACGCTGGTTTGAAGCTGTCATCTTATCACTTGTTTAAAAGACATGAGTTATGAAAGATCGTGAATAAATGCGTTTACTCTTATCGTTCGAACAAAGTGAATAACCACGGTCAAGCTAAACTCCACTATGTTTACCCCTTTTCTACCTCGAGTGACATATTCGGTCCAATCGGGGATATGTGACAACTTAAGCACCAATCAGTTTGTCGTTTACAATTCGCGTATTCAGTTAAGAGTTTTTTAATGATATAATTTTTCATCTAAATTGGTTTCTGATTCTGTCAACCTCTTCCTTGTTGCTCGATGTTCGGGAGAATTTCGCCTCTGCTTTACATTTACCAGACACACATCGTGAAAACCGGGTTTTCATTTACAATCGAAATAATCAGAAAATGTCGTGATTCTTATGACTGGTCTGTTTCACGCCTCATCAACTTCGCTATTTTTGTGTGACTCGGGAAACGATCATCTATTTTTGGATGAAAACGACATGAAAGGAAAGAATTAGGGAGATGACAGACTCTTCTGCAGAATTTTGGTGTCAGTTGTACAGTTTACGGCTAGTAGCGAACAAGTGATTAAAGTTATTGTTGTTGGTGTGCTCCGGAATCCGAGGTTCGAACATCACTGCTATGGCAGACATCTTCGATGTCTTTCGGACGTTTATCCTAATGAAATGTTATGTGGTTTGCCACTCGAAGTCCCGAGGAGTTGATCGCGGGCTCGCATAACCGAACGGTAGGCTTGTGCGTCTTTGGGATTCATCGCCCTATTATGTCAATTCAGAATGGATTTACAACCTCGAATTGTGAAAATGCTAGTACATGATTGTGTCTGTGCCCTATTGCCCATTTCATTTCTCTTTGAAAACCGATAGGGGAAGCGGAAACTGATGTTCATTTAGCTGTACATCTGGCAACCACTAAAAGTGTGCAACAGAATTCCCTGTTTTAACACTTTATTCTTTCGATCATCATGATCGGCAGCGATCTGAGTTCCATGGTTGAGTTGGTTTCATACCGAATTACCGTCACTTCAACTTCATCCAACTCGCATTATCATACACATTGTTTCTCAAACTGTTGTAGATCATCTTGAGGCTCTCTTGCCTGGCGTCTTCGTTATCTAACAAAGTAGATCGTTCTTTCTTGAGGAATTATTTTTTAATGACTGATTTTCACTGATACAACGTATGTAATTTTATATGTTCAATAGTTCATTTCAGTTTTTACAACCATTAACCGTGCACTTTCACGTACCGGTTTTGGTTGCTGCCTTTTGATTGCCCATTTGGATAAAAGAGCAAAAGGAAGCACGGTGTGTTGAGAGCAGAGTGACATACATCGTATGGTATCCCATTCTACTGAATTATAGATTTCCGTCGATACACGGATAAACCTATCTCCTCTGTTTATTTGCTTGTTTTTCTCATGACCGAAAACAGATCATTGAAAATCCCGGCTACGTTATGACACGTTTTATAAGCGATCTCGGTGGTATTTCTGGTCTCTATGTCGGCATCACGATGTACACCGTGGCCGAACTTGTGGATCTGGTGACCCAATTTCTTTGTGTCTACTTGCCGTATGTCTGGAGTGCGACCAAGCTCGGAGTCAAAAAGCAGCATCTGGCAGCCCGGTTCGCTCAAAGTCTCGCGAACGATAATGATGACGTGCAGTCAAGCGAACCGCGTTCGGATGCGAATTCCTCTGACATCAAATAGTGACCAATTTCCAGTGAGCTGTATCAAAACAAATGAAATGCATCAAATTTCCCACACTTCGCTCTTCTTCTTCTTTACCGTGATCGCAGACAAGGGGGTTAAATAAGCTCCTTTATAACTAGGTTTTCCTTTCGGCTTCGTAATTCGCTGTCTTCAGTGAATACCATCACGACATTAACAGAGGAACACGAGAACAAGCTCGTTTTCGATAAATGCTTCATCTGGATAATACAGTTTTAGGTACATACGACGTGAACAGATATGCAAGAAATAATGTACAAATGAATATGCATTGCTTAAACGATGTGGATATGGTTAAGAGTGGTTGGGAAAGAGGCAAAAACAAAAGTTGTTTCATGAGAGTGTAGGGGGATTTGATTCAATTGAAAGGAGGGAATTCGTCTTGTGTAGAGCAAACAAAGCGTGAACTGAAAAGCCAGGAAGCATTGTACAGCTGTGTTCGACCTGGTTGGGTCTCATCAGCCTTTTAGCCCCTGAACAGGTTCGCAAAGATGAGTTGTGCTGTATCTTGTGAATTGAAAATGAAAAATTGTCTGATTAGCTGCTTGGTGGCTGTCCAGTCCAGTCTCCACAGGACGAATAATGGCCCTTGTCAATCGCGTGTTCAGATTATTGTGTTCTCTGCAGGTGTTCTTGGCTCCCAACACTGCGTTTTCTGAGTTTCTTTTATCAGTGTTTATCAGTCGAGTTGGAAAAGAGCAAACCGAATAGATGTTTTTTCGTCTCATAGGTGAGAGAGCTTAGTTTTCTGAAACATACCAGTTTAAAGTACGATCGAAAGGCCCAATTCCACGCATTCAGTGCCTCCTTTAAGTTGTGCACACTGTTGCAGTTGACCTCTCCCCCGGGTAACCTGTTCCACATGGGTATGACCCTGTGTGCGAAGAAGTTGGCCCGGACCTCCAACCTAGCATGGTTTTGTTGGAGCTTGAAGCTATGACCCCTCGTGTTTTGAGCACGAGAAGCCGTAAACAAGTCATCTGCGTGAAGTCCTGATAGTCCTCTGACTATTTTAAAGGTCTCTTTCAGATCTCCTCGCAGTCGTCTACGTTCCAGAGAAAAGAGATTTAGGTCTCTCAATCGCCGTTTATAGCTTTTCCCTTTTGTGCAGCTACCATTGGGGTAGCAAGTCGTTGCATCTTATCCAGGCATGCTATATCCTTTCTATAGTATGGTGCCCACGCCTGAACATAGTATTCTAAGTGGGGACGAACTCTTGCCGTGTAAATAGGTACAAGGACCTCTGCGTTTCTACATGTAAGGGCAGCGCACAACCTGAAGAGCTCACCACGGGCTTTATTGACTGCCTTCAGACATTATGTTTCGGGCTTGAAACTCTTCGTGGGAATGGCTCCTACATCTGTGTGCTGCAGTGCCAGCTGAGTGGGCATCATGTTAACGTTCTGCCTATGAGGCCCAGAATTCGATCCGCAGTCGGACCGATGGATTCGCACCGCTGATGANTGTATGGTGATTCCTAGCTTTTCAGTTCACGCTTCATTTGCCCCATACATGAACAATTGCCTCTATGAAAAAGTTGACTATCATTGGTTTAGCATAGGTACCCGAGAAGCAAAGAAAAGCAGAGAGGGATGAAACAAGATGGGTGAGGTCACCTAGTTCCTGCTTAGTTCAATCCAGGTAGCACAACGTAGCTCATCGATCGGCTAAAAAGAGCTACATTTATTAACAGAAGTGTATTCATATTATTTTTTCTTGGTNTTTGAAGACTGATTTTCATTCCTAAATCAATCGAAGTGCTTGTATTTTTGGAGTCAAACTTCCTTGAATTTTGTTTTATTTGCGGTGAGAAATGATATTTTGAGTGACTCCTATCTTGTGCTGGGTTGTCGTTTGCTGCTGCTGTGTTCAAGTTCTTATTTCTTAACGTCCATCGAATAATATGTAAACATCTGTGATACATTTATTTGATTGTTATTGCTTTTGGTTCCGTTATCAATTTTTTCCGAGGGTTATTTCAGTATCATAAAAAAACATTTAATTTTATTCAGCTTCCTAAAATGTCATCCTTATCTCGCTGGACATTTTATCGCAACAGCGGATGCAACTAGCTAAGTGCCCTGTTTGTCATGAGGCAAGTCTTTATGAACACACAACAAGGTGTCCAAAACCAATAGGTTAATTAGTTGTAAAACATTTATTTTATTCGTAATACATTTCTTTATGAGTGCAACCCATTTCCTTCAATGTGAATTCAACGTGCAGCAACTGACAGAATTGGAACGAAAATTGTCAGATGACAGCGCTTATGACAAATTTGTAAATTTAACTTATGGTACCTGTTGAGTGCTTAAGTGAAACACTTGACGCAAATGGGTGAGAGAAAAAACGTGACACATACAGTGAAACGTGCCATGTCTACGGTACGGCATGATTCATTAGTTGTGCTGATGAATGACACCGGAAAACATGGGAAAATACAAGCTTCCGGTCGTTTGTTTATCGGTAAGTAATTATGATAAGAAATGCATTACTTTACTAGATCCTATTCGGATTTACCTCAGATTTATTGATGTTTCAATAGATCGTGTTGAACGCGAAATAAGCAGGTGTTTCAAAAATACGGCGGACAGAATTACCGCCGGAAAATTGTGACAGAAAAGTACTAAAAAGTAAATGTAATAATTTTTTATTTTTATAATATATATCAGTGAATAATTGGTCTTCTTTAATAGGCGCAATTGCCTGCATGAAGGCCCCTTATTACAGTAGAATCTTGTTTGAAGATATCTTCTAACTAGAATTAACATAATACGGTACCGGTGAGGGAAGATAAAAGAGGACTTATTCAATTAGTCAATAAAGTGTATTTATAATCTTTACAAAACATGTGTTTAAGCCTATTAGGAAATACAAATATCGCGAGGAAATATAGGGTCTATGACTGATTAAAGAACAGAGAAGACGAAAATCATAAAATGGAATTTTCGAAAATTTAGTTCACTGTAACCGACTAATAGCGCGCTATTAGCCGACTAATGGGCTTCAAATGTGCTACAATTTTGGTGCCGTAGCTGATTTGTAGCTCAAATATAGCCGGTTATTAGTGAGCTATTAGCCGACGACGTGCTACCTAGGAAGGTGTATTGGGCGAATAGGTGTTCTGTTTCGAGTTTGGGACAGGGCAGCTAGATGGATTTGACTAACTGTTTTTGCGAACATGAAGTTGGACGCAATAACTGCATTGCCACCACTTCTGCTTTGGCAAGATGGCGTTTTGGGGGATTGGACGTCTTTGAACGCATCTTCTACGAGATATGCCATGATCGCACTCAAAATGGTCCTTGTGGTGCATACGTTTAACCAAGCCGGTTTATGTTCCTTGATTCTTTAAAAAAATTGCCTAATCGTCTTTTATTCAGCCATTCAATGCTGGGTGATATGCAGCTAACCGAATGTGCTGCAGTCCATTGTTGTAAAGAAAATTTTGGATCTGTTCGCTTGTAAACAGTGTTCCATTGTCCGTGCAAATTGTTTCTGGGATACCGAATGTTGCAAATGAGGAACGCATCTTAGTAACCGTAGTCTTCACCGTACCATTACTTGGATGAGCTTCTATCCATTTCCAGTAGGTATCGACTGTGATTAGACACACTACTCTATTTATAGGACTAAATAATCTGCATAAATCCTCTGTCACGGCTTTTCTGGCCAAAGCCACAAGTGAATAAGACTTGGAGGGTTTTGACGTTGCTGCTTCTTGTATACATCACATGTCCGTAATAAATCCTCAATATCTTCAATCCTTGACCACCAACAATGTACTCTTGCTATGGCTTTCAATAGGGTAACATCAGAATGGGCATAATGCAGTTAGCGCAACGATTGCGATCGCGCCCTCCGGGATATGACCGTGCGGCTTCCCCAGGAAATATAACCATCGTGTTAGCTGAGTTCATTTTTACGTTGCAAGTAGGATCGTAGCTCATTAGAAACCTCGCTAGGCCATCCGAAGAGTATAAATCGTTTAACCATGGATCCATGGTTCAAATGTGGGTTGAGCACCTAAAAGCAAATATGATCATCTATCTTACTAACCATGAGATTGTTGGTATTCGTTATCTGATGCCTGCATTGATACCTCGAAAATATTTACGATCAAATATGACGAGTAACATAATGGAGATAGATGACGGATCAACAGCGAGTACCAATAGCACGAAGCGCACAAACGAACGGCGGAATGATAATGGAGATCCGGCATTGAAACCACATGCAATCAATTAAAACAAACATTCACTTCGGAAGATTGCCATGTAAACAGATAAAACAAAATTTGACAAGAATGCATTTGTACCATTATTTTAAAGGCTATAAACATGAACTTGGGTTTATCTAGGTCTTATTTAGGAAGTGTGAATTATGGAGTGAACTGGGGGCAAGCAGTGCGAATTCTAGAGCAAACTGGGGCACAAAGTGCTATGCTATGTCAGCAGAGGATAGAAATGGATCGTTGTTTATCATTCGTTGAATATACTGTTAATTGGAGTATAATTCGATGTTGCATGAGTTTAATCAGCTGGGGAGAGTCCATGCATTTTACTTTTATCGGTAATAGAAGGCGACTCAGTGCATCAGCTGTTACGTAAGTGGACCCTGTCGTGTGGTTCAATTCGTACTTATAAACACTTAGGAGAAGTGCTCATCTCTGCAATCTTGGATGGTAAAATCGTTGGATGTCTTTCGATTTGCTCAATAGGCCTATTAGTGGCTTATGATCGGTGTATGTCATGAATGGACGGCCCGATAGGCACAAATGGAAACGTTTCACGGCCAAAAATGACAATCAAAACTTCTCTTTCTAGTTGAGTGTAATTGCTTTCCGCAGCTTATAATGTTCTTGATACAAAAGCCATACGATGGTGTATGAAGGCACCAACTGTAGACAAAGATGCATTGCACTGTATCATAATAGGTTTGTTTGGGGTCAAAATGAGGCAAAAATTACGATTATCCGA